TGGCACCATTCAAATATTAATCATATATCCATACTCCGTTTTAAGGAACTTAAGGATTCCACAAATGCTTTTCAATTTTATAAATTATGTGCTATCTAAGGTTCGTTAAATGATTTCCTAATTTCAGTCAGGACTGTCCTCCTCCATATTATTGAAGGTTTTCCACGTCATTAAAGATCTCACTCTTAAAACTTACTGGTATATTCATTCCAACCATACTTCCATTTTTATTCTACTGGTTGTTAACTCCTAAAAGTTTTTCAGTGGAAATTTTTCTAACTTACCATTTTTGAAGAATATATTACAAACATATGTGAAACAAACCATGTTTCATTACTATAAAGAAATAGCAATTTTACACAAATATTAAATATTGTTGTTTATTTAAAAGTGTTTGTTGTGCTTTCAATCCATATTTTTATATATTCCAAAACTTGGCTTCTGTCATATGTGTCTGTTGCGTAAGACTTGTTGTATCCTGTTTTACTAAACCGTCGAGTGAAAAGTTACTTCTTAAGTGAAGTAAAATTTACGTTGTTTCAAATATAAGCCAATTCTTTAAAAATCCACATTGCTGCTATTTTTCAATTTCTAAGTTAATTACTTGGAAATATGTTTTTTTAATTATTTTTGATAGGTTTAGGTTAAATTATACCGGCGATCTCTCCCAAGGGATCTACTTAGGGCACATTGTGTTACCACTTAAAACCTTTGGCAAAGCTTATAATGCTATTCAGAGTCTTATTAGTATTAGTTTTGATGGATTATTAATATAATATATATGCTATACATTATCCAGATGTTATCGCTTTCGGTAGTTTACAACATTCAAATCAAAATTCAGAACCCTAAGTATTAAATTTTAAACACAGTATATCTGAATAAGGATGTTATCTAAACACCGCTTTCTCTAAGAAACTGGAACTACTTTTTTAAAAATTTAGATATCGAGAATCAAGTGTGTCTCGATTATGCCATTTTTTTTATGTAATGTCTAGGGTTGGTTAAAATTTTCTATAAATAGAAGACATATCGTCGACATAGTGAAGAAAATTATTTGCTAATTTATAAATTAAAAAATTAGGAATAAATTATATATATATATTCGTATACACAAATAAAATTTTAATTTATTTTATTTTAACTTTTCAAAGTGTCAAATAATATTTTTAATAATTTTTAATATTTATTTCAATTATTAAAAAAAATTTTATAAAAATGTCTGTTTGATTGCAAAACTTAGATTTAAATTAAATAGGTAAGCAGATTTAAGCAATTACTAAGACAGTTTTAATAAAATATTTTTAATGAAATTTATTATTAAAAGTGTTAACTTTGGCGTCACCATTTGAAGTCAATGATACAATTCCTTCTAAAATATGAATCATCCTTAACTGCTGTATTGAATAAGCCCAACGTCAGACACCAACAACTAATGACGTACTATTTTATTAAGGTAATACCATATAACGTTATCAATAGTATACATTTCATAAAATTATAATGCATTATAAAATTGAAATTATATATAAAGTAAATTGCATGTATTGAATTCACACGAGAATTTTGTTTTTATATTTTAAGTTTTTAAAAGTATATATAGAACATGTCTGAAAGACTTGGACGTCATTCAACAATTGCTTATTGCCCCAATTGCGGTCAACATGTTAGAACATTCACTAGTTATGAAATTTCTCTAAAGACGCATTTGCTGGCCTTACTTTTGTGTCTATGTGGGTAAGTAAATTACGATTTACGATTTTATATGAGAGTACAAAAAATTTTTAAGGACGAAGACCATATAGTTAGCTAATGTCTTTATTTCTTTTTTCTTGTTATTGTATTTATATTGTAACGAGGTATTCTAATTAGGTAATATTAATATTTATAAGAATACATATATGGGAAACAGATCTATAATAAAATCATATTATTGATCAGTTACGAATAAAGTATGTAGACTGTTAAATAAAGAACTTATTGATAGTATCTCTCATTGAGGATGCATATTTGAAAGCTAACAAGTATTAAATTAGTTTTATTAAAAAATTTGTATAAATCTCAGAATGGTTATAGGCTTCTCGGGTAGGTATGTAGAACTGAAGCCAGTTATTGTTTAGTTTGATGAAGTGATAAACAATAATCCAGTCAAGGTATATAGAGAGGTTATAAAGAAACCTCACAGCTAATAGAGAGGTAAAGTGCTCAAGAGCACTGACACCACCAGCCTCAACATAATAAAAATCTGATTTAAAACTGTAGAAATAGAAAAATTGTTTATCTATATTTGTCTTTTCATTTTCTTATATTATATTTGAATAAAACTGCAGATATGGATATAAGGTCGCTTTCTCAGTATATTATGATAGATTTGAAAAAAATTAAATATTATTCGTTTTCCTTACATTGATTAACTATTAATTTATATACACATGTGACAGCATATGTAAAAATCAACATTAATTGTCAAAGCTTTATAGGGGTATCTAAGGTTCCATCTAACTACGCGGATCACATTTCCTTTCATATTTAACTGTAGTATGAGATAGTGTGTAGTAAGCAAGTATTATTAACAAAATTCTTGTATTATTAAGAATTTCCTTCGGAACGTACATATTTTGCTTGTTGACTAAGTTTTAAGAGGAATAACTTATGATCACTAATTTTTTTTTATATTATGTTATTTATGTGAAATATTTTCTATTTTTATAATAGGTGCTGGTTCTGTTCTTGTATACCTTATTGCTCAACATGTGTCCATGATATTGCACACTACTGTACACGATGTGGGATGTATTTGGGTAATTCAAGTTTTTAATCAATAGCTAATGGATTTGTAAGAAATAGCTATATTAATCAGTACACATAGAAAAATATAAGCGAAATGTATCTATTGAAAGTTATTATGCCATATATATACAAATAAAATTGAATTCATTAAAGCAATAACAAAATCGTTTCATTTTATTTAAACTAGTATTATATATTCAATGTTTGTATATTATTACTTTATTTTTTACTTGCATGTACCTTTTATTAATATATAAATAATGCAACAAATAATGCCTCTACAAACAGAATTGTATTGAAATAAAAAATATAATTAATTAATTCAATTATTCTACAGCTACTTTATGATTTCGTTCTAATATAAACACAGCAAGTGAATTTGTTAATAAAACTTTCACAGCAAATTAACAAAACTCCATAAAAATGTGCAAACATGCAAGTCAAGTACGGCTTTGATTGTTTTGATTAAGGAGCGCTGACTCTGAGCTTGAAATTTGGCAGGATACGAGTTGCATTCCTGGTACTTGCAGTCTCAAAAAATTATTTACGAATAATTAAATATAAGAATTTTTTCCAAGATCACTGATGATGGGTATTTAGCAATACTCGAAACAGCTGTATGGTCAGCCAAAAATTCAATTAATTAAAATAATATAAAAAATAAAATTTTTGTTGTTGTGTTTCACTACTGTTCGAAAAACCTCTTTAATATACTATATTAATAATATAATATAATTAATTATATTATATTATATTAATTAATATATAATATAATATATTAATATATTAATAATATATATATTAATTAATATATAATATAATATATTATTATACTAGTATACAAATAAGTAGATTACTTTTAATGCACAGAAGCTATTCTCATGATTGTAAATTTATTATCAAAGAACATTTTTAAGTACATACCCATTAATATTATTAATTACTTTCATAAATCACTTTAAAGTTATAATTTAATAACTTTTTTGTTGAAAATATAACAAACAAATACGATCTTTAAATTTAATTAAAGTTGGATGCTGTGACTTCTTAGTTTGTAACTAATAAGCTTTTATTGCCTTCTCTCATAAGTCTGTAACCAATAACAAAAACATATTTACTTTACTATGAAAGCATTGATAGGGAAAGGATAAATGGAAGCATTTATCATGTTAGTACAAATTTTGAATATTGACGTACCATAAGCATTTATCTCACATGTTATAAGTTATGAAGAACAGTTATTGGCGACAAACCACAAATAGAAAGAAAATAGAAGAAATCTATTTTTGAAGGAAAGATTTTATATGAGGTTCTGTAGTTTCTTTGCAATCCTTTGTATGCAACTTGTTCGGTGTTAAGATTAAGCTTGTATTGTTTATTTTTTTTAACTATATTTTAATTACTTATATTTTAGTACTTGATAACTATTAAATACTTCAATATTTTAATATTGACACAAGATAGATTTTTAAGAATAGTAGTACATGTTATAATTTTAAAAACCATTTTCCATACGACTATTTTTTATTAAAAATTTTTTTAAAAAAATTTTAAAGTTTAAAATTTCTTTCCGTAATTTCAGTAATAATTTCATTAAAAAATAGCGTTGCAAAGTTTCATGAATTGACATAATTTGTCAAAGTAAAACATCCAATAAATATGGCACTTATTTCATACGTTTAACAAAAAGGTCTCTCAAACAGTGAGTAATGTTCTTTCAATAAAATTATTCAAATTATTTAAAATTATTTCTCTATTAATAGTTTTTCTAAGCAAAAGTAACGTGAACAGAAGAAGTCGGTTACATTCGTACTTCGCAAAAATATATATTTTTTATATTTTTGAAAAAATTTCATATATATATTCATATTGATAATCTTTGTAATCCAGTACTTTTTCTTCCTTTCTTATTTGAGTTTTTAACATCCCTTGTTTATGTATTGTTACAAAGTGTATAAAGACCACCATATATACTTAATTGAAACTATTCCTTATTATTTAATATATACATTAAATTCCGCTATTTTTTGATGTTATTAATTCTTGCTCTTCCAGTATTATTTAAGAAAAAAACCATCATAATTCTGTTTTTAATTAAATGTAGGTCATGCCTCAGCAAAGGTATTGTCCAAATTGTAAGAGACCTGTAATGGCAATCGTTGAATACGAAATTTCTCCAGTGACACATTTGATGGCCATTTGTATATGCCTTCTTGGGTAAGTTCAACAAATTGTGTGACACTATTTTTTTTTGTTAGAAAAATTTGACAATAAAAGATATTTTATGAACTAAAAACTCGTATTTGAACTTATATATTTGACTACTATGTTGTGAATAAACGAGTCAGTGCGCTTGAACACGTTTACTCTCTACTAACTGCGAGGTTTCTTTATAACCCCTCGCTTTAACTGGATTATTTAACACTAAATAAACCGTTTGTAAGATAGGAGAGATATTTGAAAATAAATCTAAACCCAATCATCAGATCTTTTCATTTTCCGATCTAAGAATCATTCTTATGGTAATATAAAAATTTTTTATTTTTTAGCTATATATTTTAAAATATATAAAATTTTTTAGGTATATAGTTGAAAACATTTAGGTGGCCAAAAAGGGCCGAAAAATTAAATAAATAAAATTTTTTAAACTAGAGTATAAGTGTTAGACTTAGAATTTTGAGCCTGTTAGACAAAAAATGAGCGTGTCAATACTTTGAATTATTGATAGGTTGTCAGTTCTAAACGTGGTACTTTTAGTCCACAAATATTAAACATGGACTAATAAACCAATGAGATATTTCAAAAGACAACTCATGTGGAGTATTTAGCAATACTCGAAATAGCTGTATGTTTAGTCAAAAACTCAATTTTATATAAAGAGATTGATATTGCAATTTATTAATTGTTAAAAAAATTTATATTAATAAATTATTTTTTCGCCATAACTAACTTCAAAATAAAATTTAATTCACATGAATTATAAAATCGTTTATAACATATAAATCAAAGTAGTAAAAATTTTTCATACATAATCTTATAAAATATTATAATACGAATACTTATAATAAAACTTATTGATATATTTATATTTTTCCTATGTTTCTTACAGAGGTTGGTGTTGTTGTTGTTTTCCATATTTTTTGGATTTTTGCAAGAGTGCTGAATATTACTGCCCACATTGTGGTACTCGATTAAACTGAAAGAGTCTAGACCTTTAAAAAGTATAGACATTTAAAAACGAAAAGAAATTGGATGGCTTTTACGAAGTAAAACTAAGAAATGTATTTTGAAATTGAAACTTTTTGAAATAAATAACTGTAATAGATTTATTTAATGGTATATATATTTTTGAAAGCATATAGTATACATACAGAGTATAAAAAGCAGAGTATACATACATTAATTATTTAAAATTTAGAGAATATGAATAGCAAAGAATGAAAGAACAAACTCAAAAATTTGGTTAATTTATTGAAATTTGGCTGACCATACAACGCTGTTTCGAGTATTGCCAAGTACTCATCATTAGTGTTCTTAAAAAATATTCGAATTTTTTAATTAGTTTATAGTCCGTATAGAATATGTTCGGACGACAAGTACCAGGCTTAGAACCTTCTGAAAAAATACGATTATTCATCCCTTCAAATTTAACAGGCACGAGTTCTAAGCCTGGCACTCGCAGTCCAAACAAATGATCCAAAACTACCAGTTTGCTTAGTTGTCTTCGTTTTTTCTTGCAAATCGGTCTATAACATGTATGCAACGAAATCGAACCATTTATAAGACAAATCATGACAGGCGATAAATAATGGATAAAATACGATAATATCCAAATCAAGCGGTCATGTCCAAAAGTCGATGACCACCCATAAATGACCTTAAAGATTGGATTGACAGCAAACAAGATTGTTTCAAGTTTGATTGGAGTGAAAGGGAATTGTCTATTACAAACCTCTCCACCCTGGTGCAACGCTTAATATTGTCCTCTACTGGTAAAAACTCGAGTATTTGAAGGAAACAATCATAGAAACGTGACCAGAAAAACTATTAGCCACCAGCAAAAGAATTATCTTCTATCATAATGTCAGGTTATACACATCTTTGTTGACTTGCAACAAATTGACGGAACTTGGTTGAGAAGTTATGATCTATCTACCGTATAGCCCAAATAGTGCACTGTCTGATTATCATTTATTTCTGTCTTTTAAAGTGGCAAAATGCTCTTGGTGCTGTTTGCATGAGCCCGGGGGAGGGAATGCCTTCAATCTACCAACTAATTAGTTAAGTTCATTTTGAATAATGTTAACAAAAATTCACAGAATAATTTATTTGTTGCTAATAATTATTTAAATGAATGATAAAAAAATATATTATTCCTGTTTTATAGGCCTATAGGCAAAAGAAGAAAAGAATTCAACAGTGTATCTGAATACATCAGTTGGCTTTGGTTTCAATTTGACCATCATGCGCATATAATCACGTAGAAATACTTTAACTTCTGGACTTTCTTTTAGATATTCAATTACAAGATTTCTGTATAGTTTTTCTTTACTGATATAATATTGGTACAATGCGGAATCCTGTTTCCATTGAAACTCCAATCTTGGTATGATCATTTCTTTTGGTGGTTCTATAGGCCTACTACAATGAAGAATGTAGTTAAAAGTAGGCCAAAAATGTAATATAAGTTTGCCTTTCGCTGTCAAATAAGATTCCGAAACTTCTACTTCTTCATCATCAAAGTACTCAGTTTTTTTTACAAGAAAAAGATTTCTAAATGTTTCTGTAAATATCCGCATTGTGTGACGTTCCTCAAATATATTTAATACAACACGTACAACTTTACCTGCAATACAACATTTAGAGATTTATATGTTCAATGTCAAAAATTTTTCGAACATAATATATATTAATACAATATATGTACAATATATTCTATTAATTAAATATTTATGTCAATATTTGTTCGCACAAATTTGCTTATTTTGTGTAATTTATAAATTTATTATATTTTACTCACCAAATAAAGACATTGAATAAAGTTCGTAATCTCCAAAAAATTTATTTATAACAAGAAATCGTACAAGTGCTGTAATTCCACCATCACCTATAAATGGCTCTGGGCGACCCCTAATATCAATATCTGCCGAATAAGTGGTTCGCGTATCATTTAAGCATATTTCACGTGTTGCTACGATTTTTTTATAATCTACATTGCGCAACATCAATCGTTTAATCTTAAAAAAACATGTATAGTTCAAGTATGAATGGTACATATATTTTAACACTATTTAACCACTTACCACAGTTGCATTATTTAACGGATTATATTCCATACGTCTCTCCACAACAAGTCTGAACTTGTTATCGTACTTCCCTTTAAGCTCATGTCCACAAACAGTATTACTTCCCCTTTCCTTATGCATTTCACTCCAGCTATGTACATAGTAACCGTCTGTTGTCTCTTCAACCTCAAATTTAAGCTTGCCTATTCTCTGCACCTCATTCACCTCCAACTCTATTTTCTCTTTTGCTTTCAATTGACACATTGCCCCATCGAATACACTAAATATGTGCATATAATCGGGGAATAACATACACTGTTTATCATTCGACATGTCTTTGGCTTTTACTTCCCATTTTAAATCTTTAATTTCTTTTTCAGTTGGAAGCACAAGTGAAAGTATTTCAGAGAAAATGCTACTAACACTTATTTCATCACTGGGATTTAATTGTACATATGGGCATGATCTTATTGGACGTGGTGTTTGTGGTGCATTTTCAATCGAGTCACATTCATCCGATTCATCTTCGTCTTTTTTATAACGAGCTACAAAAATTGAATATAATTTTTTTTAAGCTTTTATTTTAATGCTTTTTAATACCTCTTAATATTTTTTGCATATCACGTTTTTTTGTCTTGAAGACTTCGATTTCCGAGCATGTTTTATCAGGAAGTATTTCATTTATAACCTGTTCATTAGTTAAGACGAATACTCTTCTCTTGGGGCATTTTATGTATGGGTCCGACATTTGAGCACTAAGTTTAGGCTCTTGAAAGATCGAATTGAGTTTGCTCATTTTTAATGCTTGATGACTATAAGTACGCCCAAAAGAAAATTTAAATTTATATTATTAGCAACAATATTTTAAATTTTAAACTTTTTGAATAGAAAACATTACATTACACACTTTATTTTTAAAACTCCGCCTGCTTATCATTAACAATTATTTCATTTTTGGATTAAGTGTTAAAAAATATTATATAAATATATGATATACAACAAAATTGTATATGAACTTGAAACTGTACTAGGTTTAGTGACTGTAACATCACAGCAATAGTTAACACCGGCATATATTCAACATTTACCTCATTATTCGAACAGAACGATTACTGACATAAAGTAAAACAAATGATTTCATTCCAAAAAAAAATGTTGGATTATCTACTGTTCAAATAGCATTCACACAACTACTTCAATAACCCGAAAAAATATACCTGACTTTATTGCATAAAAGACAAATCAATGGATTAAAAAAATAATAATTTCATTACCATGTAAAATTCTTCAATGTCTCATTACTTAGTCCTTAAGTTATTGACACAATAATAAAGCTTGCTGATTCATAAACATAACCTACTCACATATCTTATATGCTATTCCCTATAGCATATAACCTCAATAAGTATGTCAAGCTTAAAAACACGTTTCTCAGACAAAATCAAATTAATAATAAAATTAAGCTACTTTTTTTCCATAACTCTACTTTATATCTATAGTATTAATTTCAATAGTGGTAACTCATTGTCAATTTATTTTCTATGCCTTTCCTATTTTTTCAATACTTTAATCTATCTACTCTTTGATAAAATAGTATTCATTATCTTTGAATTTGATTGTTGATCATAGTTTTAAACTGCAAAGCAGTTAGAAAGTAATTAGTCACATTCCTTTGTCTCAAATTCTTACAAACTAATCACTAACTGAAGTAATTAGCAAGACTAAGTTAGCTTATTATTAACTTACTAAGTACATTGATAACTTAGTGTATTACTAACTTACTCTTGCTAGGAGATGCAGTATCACATCATGATAAATTCTAAGCTAAACTTATACTTATTGATTTATAAAGAGGTTTTTCGAACAGTAGTGAACTACAACAACAAAAATTGATTTCATATTATTTTAATTAATTGAATTTTTGGCTAACCATACAACTGTTTCCAGTATTGCCAAATATCCATCATTAGTGGTCTTGGAAATAATTCTTGTATTTAATTATTCGCAAATAGTTTTTTGAGACTGCAAATACCAGGAATCGAACTCGTGTCCTGCCAAATTTGAAACTCAGAATTATTAATTTATTTTATTGATGGCAATGCGTTAGGAGCGTTCTAGAAAAAATATTCTGAAGAAAATCAATGATCCCTTATGCGTTCACGAGAAGCTATACTATACTATACTGAAGTTATACCGCGACAATGACATAGTTAAGCGCATAGAAATTCAGCTAATCCGGTGGCTTGGTCATGCTGTATGAATGGAAGGATGTGCTTCGGCCAATTCAATTGATTCGCTGACTTGGTTATGTTGTACAAATGGAAGAAGTGGAAAATCTTTCGATGAAATATTCAGGTAATTATCGACTTGAAGGCACTCGATACTACCAATTGGCTACATTTACCCACTAATTGTGTTGGCTGGCGGAGACTCCTGAATGCGGTCAAGGGCAACTCACATAAAGGCACAAGTCCCTTTTATGCTATTATACTATATAACTTTTATACTATTTCTCTTTAATAATAGAGCCATAGCATGGAGTTTATACATAAGCTAATATAATTATTAAATATTTCTCGCATTCTTTTTACCAGTCACCTTCTTTATTTCTTTTTTCTTGCTGTCCAAATAAATAAGTTGAGCTTTTGAAATGAAATATAATGACCTTTTCTGTTTGTTATCGTTTTTTAAAAATAAACAATCACCAGTACTGGTTGCTTTACTCTTACCAAGTATAATCTAAGTCTATGGCCTCAATCTAAGTCCATGGTCTATGGCTCAACACAAATTGAATAATCTGTGTTTAGCTGTGTTCAGATCTACACATTTCTTGTATTCAAATCCGTTTTAAATATATTGTAAATTAAAATTTGTAGTTTGTTCTGACTTTTCCAAATGGACATGAATTTTAACTTAAAATAGAAAATTTCTATCTTTAATATTTTATATATGTATATTCATTACAAGACACTTAATGATACCCGTATCTGCCTTATTCATAAGATGCAAACACAAATTACAAACCCAAACACTCCAGAAAGTGGATTTTGCTATTGTTGTAGTGGAAAATGTTGTTGTGATTCTTAAATTGCAACGATGACAAATGTTAAGCGGAAAAGAACGCAATAATCATGTGACACCACATATGACAGCTGACGATAATAACGAAGTCTGTAATGATGTCGTTAATAATCACGATACTAACTATGCGAAGAGTTTTGCTAAGTGCATAATGATACGACTGGTGTTGACAGCAGTAAGTGTAGGAACTTGTGTACGACACTTCTGCTCAGATAGATTCATAATCCCAAGGTGCTAAAGAGTAAGAATGCGTTTGTATGAAATGTTTCAAATACATGCACATGCATGCACACTCATCCATAGATGTGAGTACTTTATGTTGCACTTGTGCTGAAGTGATAAACTGTTTGGAGTTGTGGATAATACGTATACACCATAGCTCAGACCTCTTCAAAAGTAACACTTCTGCAAATGCTCCCGCATAAATACTTGAATATACAAGCACATTTACAGAGAAATGTACAGCACTATATACGCACACACATATATTTTCTGGAACTGTGTTAATTTTATTAAGTGTTCAAGCAATGCATCATTATCATAATTACTATACACTCGTATGTATAAGACGAAAAGATAGGAAAAATTTATTAATTTATACAAATCTTTTAAATATTATGTCTACTTATGTGTATTATATAAAAAAAGGGTCAATGTTTTAAATAGTATATATTTAAAAGAAGGGTGACAGTTTAATAGTTAGGAAATTGTAGATTTGATATATAACATATATTTATGAATACATATGTATATTTCATATTTTATCAATATTTACTTTTAATTAAGAATTGTGCTTTTGAAGCACAATGTAGTGCTTAAAAGTATTAAAGTATTAAATAATACTTGATTTAATGATCGAACCGTTTAGATTTAACAATTATTTAAAAGATTTTTTTTTGTTTTCTATTTAGAGGGTTTCGAATAACAGAGAAAGAAAGGACAAACTCAAAAATTTAGTTAATTTATTGAAATTTGCCAAATACTCATCATCAGTGATCCTAGGAAATATTCGAATTTTTTAATTAGTTTATAGTCCGTATATAATTTGTTTGGACTGCAAGTGCCAGGCTTAGAACTTGTGTCTGTCATATAAAAAACAATTAGTCATCGTGCTTTTCCACAAGTAGCCAAGGCTGCACAAACTTTCCATGCTCAAGTTTCAGATTTTTCGTCACTTTTTTTATTTAATTAATTAAATTAATCATAATTAATAAATAACAATAATAAACTAAATTTTTGTGTTTGTCCTTTCTTTGTAATTCGAAACCCTCTAAATTTTAAAAAATAGTTTTTTTGTCATTATAAGAAAGCGTAGGTTTTTCAACAAAACTAATTAAAAACTTTTTTCTATCGAAAACTCTTTTCTTAAAGTGTTTATAATAATAGACGAAATCTAATTTATATATTTTTGAACAATCGAATAGCTTAATCATTTAAATAATACACATTTTTAAATTAATTTTAAAAAACACATTTTACTGTCACTTGTACTTTGAGTATAGTTTGTATTACCTTGAATATGACTATAGACTATAGTCAAAATATTGATAGCAATAAAATATATTTTTTTAATTAATTTAAAAGCGTGCATTAGTTAAATAATAAAACAAGTAGACCGTTCAAAAATATATTAATAAGATTTGGTTATTAAAATAATAAATTATAAAAATAATTTAGAAAGAAAATTATAAAAAAAATTATAAAAATTATTTAAAAAATTTTCTTTATTATTGCTAAATCGAAATCATTTAATTAACTTTTTTTTTGCAATAATAATTATACGGTTTAAAAATATATTTATAAGATTTGATTACTGAGACAATAAATTATAAAAATTATTTTTTAATATAAAAAAAAATGTTTTTTAACAAAATTAAAAATTATTATTTAGAAAATCCGCTTAATCATTGTTAAATCGAAACCATTCAATCATTTAAAAAAATTTTTTTTTTTTGCAATAATATTAAATTAATAAAAATTGATATCAATTGGTGACTATAACGAAAAACACAATTTAATTAATATTTTTTATTTTTCCCTCATCATTAATTTTTTTTTTAATTCAACAAATCTTGTGTTAAATTACATTCAATTAAAGTACAAAAACCCAAAATATCTCAGACTTTGGATATTGTGTTATAACCTTGAATAGGATTATTTCTTGTCTAAGAACATCTTAATTTTGGTTGCTATATCAAAAAAGGGAAAGGCAAAGATTAATTGGTATGTGTATGGCATGTGACACGAAAAGTTTTGTATTTGCCCCAAAGGAGGGTCAAGTTAAAGACAAATAAAAATTTCCCATAAATTTTCTAAAGCAGGCATAAGAATTAATTAAAGACCATTTTAATAAGGAAAATTTAATTGAGATTTAAGCAGACATATAAAATATTAGAATTTTAACAATATCAAATTGTATACAAACAAAAAATATATATACATAATATGTTGCTTAATTGTTTAGTATCATTAAAATGACACAAGACTTCTAGAAATATTGTAATTGCTTCTTTTGCAAGAATTTTCTTATAAAATATTTTGCACAAAAATAAACCATACCACCAACCAAGCATGCCGTAGATTGTAACATGAAACTGTGTATAAAAGATATATCACAGAAATATATGGTTGCCTGTAAGCATATCTACTCGTATATGTGCACTTATATATATACATGTATGTACTTGAGAAGTTTTAATGTAGTTATAAGACCATTTATAGCTCGTTATTTTGTGATAAATGAGTGAAAAAATTCAATTTTAACTTGTGTTAGCTTAG